TGTGAATTTGCTGAAAACAACTTCAATTTTCTCTCTCTCACACTCTCACTCTCTTTCTCTCTCTCTCACTCACTCTCTTTCTCTCTCTCTCTCTCTCTCTCTCTCTCTCTTTATCTCTGTCTATCTTTCTATTTATCTACCTTTGTTTGGGGAATAGGGAATTTTCAAATCGAAAAGTTCAACAAAGATAGTGTGAATTTGCTGAAAACAACTTCAATTTTCTGTCTCTCTCACTCTCTCTCTCTCTTTATCTCTCTCTCTCTTTCTCCATACCTCTCTCTCTCACTCTCTCTCTCTCTCCATCCCTCTCTCTTTCTCACTCTCTCTCTATCCCTCTCTCTCTCACACACACATACACTCTCTTTCTATCTATTTTAAATTAAAACGTGTGTCTGTGTGAGTATATTTTTTTATATTTATGGTTAACAGTCCGTGCCGAACAAAGAAATTTTGATAGCAAAAGTTGTCCGTGAATATAACTGCTTATTTATAGTATTTAAATTGCCTGTCTCTGTAAAACGCAAAGAAAAATATCTAAAAAACATACGAAATTTTTATCCATGTAAACCTAAGAAAAAACAGCCCAAACATAATAATGTGTGTGGTACATAGTGACCTTATTTATATATGATTATTCGGAAATCGTGAGATGCGGTCTGGTGTGATGTAGGTTTTAGAAAAACATTTTCTTTTATCGTGCCAACGTTTCGGTCTTCATTGAGATCATCTTCAGAGCTCAAAGTGTTTGTTTTCTGCGTAATTGTGCCATTCTTGCGTGTCGTGTTGAGAGTGCCCTAAGAGACTCTCAATAAAGATAGAAACGTTGCCAAGATAAAAGAAAATATTTTTCTGAAACCTACACCACACCAGACCGCATCTCACGATTTCCGAATAACCATCGACTAACGGTCAATAATCACCGCACACTTATTTATACATGTTTACCTGAATGATTTAATGATCGATTCAATAAGTCTTCCATATGCAGTCCAATATATTTATAAAACTTTTGTGTTAAAATACATATTGTTAACTTAATTGTTTTGTACATACGTCATTCAAGTCCCATTGTCCATACAGTTCAACTATGCTAGTAAGCCATATGTTCAGTCAATGAAACTTGTTAGGTTTTTTTCTCGGTCCGCCCACTATTCCTTGTGAATGGGTTTTTCTCTATGATTTATTTTTTAACTTTAAGTGAGTTCTGTGTTTTCCAATATTCTTGGGGGACGGTAATTTAAGTATTATGCAACGCGTTAATTCATACAGTAATTTTGTTTATGTTTGTTTAATTAAAAAGTTAGTGTAAATATTGTTAATTTCACTTAAATATCAAGTTCGAGATGAAAGGCACGTGGGTAGATCTCTAAGGTGGTCGATTAACCAGACGACGCCACTCCCTCCCTGGAAACAATGGATAACTGCGGTTTTAAGCGTTGAAGACAAAATGCTTTGACGAGGGCTTCATCTGCCCCCGCTTCGGATATAATTTCCGGCTTAATCCAAGTATGCAACACCGGTTAACACGCATTCATAATTTTACCCGGCCAGGTTGCATAACTCGGAGCGGATTGCCAGGATTCCAGAGATTCCGCAAAAACGGCGGCGCCCCGTTTTCACAAAATCCCTCTGTAACAGTGCTTTTGCCAGTTACTGTTATCCGAAAGAGAGTTTCACTATGCTGTTTGTTTATTTGTTAGAAAATTGTATGCCTGAAGAAAAATACGCAAATTTTTCGGTTTCAAACAACGATGACTGTATAATAACATTGGAAACTTCATTTGCAACATAAAACATTACTCCAAAAGATAATATTATCCAAGACAAAAAAATTGCAAGAAAGAAGAGTTTTGTTTAATAAATTTGCACGGAATAAAATTATGTCACTGGGTCGTGTGATTTTCCAGAATTCTGTCCTTACATATTTCCTCTAAGAAGAGTAAAAATATTTAAAAATTTAAGTCCATTTGTCCAGAATATTTTTACGAAAATATCACAAACATAACTTTTGCCTTTTTTATAAACCCGTCCTTTCTTCCTTGTCTGATGAAGATCGTTATTCCGTCGTTATAAATAAGAAATGAGGCTTTTAACTAAAAAAAAAGAAATCTAGAGGAAAAGTAATATAAAGTAGGTAGAAAAGAAAGTATAACAATGTAATTTATAATAAAAATGAAGAGACATTTTTTAAGATATTTAATAATCTTAGAATCGTTATTAAAATAATAAATAGAAGCCTTTTGTAATTAGATGTTATTTCTTATAATAAATCAAATTTTAATGTTTTCCTCTCCACGACCAATTTTATTTTCCACGACTTGTTTATTCGTTAGATACTAGTCGGAATAGATTTTAAATTTAAAATTGTACTGGCGAAATTCTTCGAATAGCAGAATAACTAACTTATCAAGATGAAATGCTAAGGTTTACTTTTTAATTTTCCACCCAACCGTAAACCTTGTTGGGATGGCAATTATTTATTTGCCCCTTAGGGTGTTAATACAGTGAAATTTTTTACTAAGGGACAACTTTGGTTTTACTAATTATATCATTTGTTGGAAGGTTTCTTCTAAATAGAAATTTTTATCATCTGATAACACAATCCATTCTAGTGATATTAAATGTGAGGCGTAGATTATTTACATTTTCAATGAATTTACAATTTTTTAAAATTTCCCTTCTACTTTTCTTCTAAGCATTATTTTAATATCTAATTTTCCTACACTAGGTCTTCTAAATCTTCGGGTTGGTTTAGTGCTATGTTACCGCTTATGTATCGATTGGTAATGTTCATATTTCTGTGTTGATTTTTTTGATTATGTTTGTGTTTCGATGGTTTAATTGGGGTACATAATTATTTGGCAGGTGTATTTTATAGAAAGATTGAATTTTGAAAATATTTTTTATTTTATTTTTTTACTTACACTTTTTAATACTCGAATGGTGTATATTATTTCCATATAAAAAAATGATTACACATGAAATGTTTATTTTTATTAATAGAAGAAAAGGTAGGTTTGAGGAATGAAATCCAGAAAAAAGGAAATTGGGAGAAACCCCTCTGTTGAGCTATTGCATCAAAGATCTGCGGGTATACTGAGGCACCTAGAAGAAAGGAAGGTACGAGGGCAGGAGTGTTCGGCCCTGGAATCAAATACTCAGCACCCGAGAGAAAATACTCCAGTATCTTCCAGGCTGAACTCCATGTAATCGAGAGATGTACCCAGTTCAATCTGAACAAAGGGTTCGTTAGCTGATCGTTAGCTCAAAGTCGGTGCCGAATTGGAAAATAAAACAGTTTAGGAATGCAGAATAAAGACACCCTCTGCAGGTCCCCAGGACATGTGGGGCCAGAGGCCAACGAGAGAACGGACGCCCTTGCAAGGAAGCAAGGAAAGGAGCTGCTATATCGCTGATAGGTCACCAGTTCGCTTAGCCCTTCCGGGGCATAGGGATTCACAGTATAAATAAGTACCTTAAACAAAAGGACAATATAGAAATCATGAAACCGTGAAATTCACTCATTAGACATAAACAATCCAAGAAACGTCTAGCAAACTTTTCAAGGAATGCATCAAAGGAAGCAGGAAAAACTTCGAATCCTAACAAGATTTTTATCAAGACACTGCAGGCTGAATGTGCATAGGATTGATATAATACAACAAGGCAGGCGCAGATTTTGCAAGTAGAGCAGAACAAGCAGAGAGAAGCAGTACAAGAACAATACATCTACTAAAAAACTATGCCGCCACATTTGCCCTCAGGAGGATTCTTAACTGCAAGCTAAATGGACAGAAAGAAGATTGAAATAATCCGAGACGGCACATGCAGATTCTGCAAAGAGGCAGAGGAGACAACAACACATCTACTAACCGACTGCGGTGTTACACTTTATTTTGGGATGTACAACATTACCATAGATGAAATTGAATTCGGTCCTACTAACCAAATTCCTTGATGAACTATGACTCATCGATGTCCTATAAGCACAAAACACCCTGAGTGATGTACATTTACATCTTTCAACAAATTTGAGGTAGAAGTAAAATATTTATATAATAATATTTTAGAATTCGTAATAAATGCAAAATTACTGGTTGCTAGGGGAGAAAGGAAGCAACATCAGCGTACAAATTATTTCACCAAAGGAGAAAACCCCGAGTGGAGCCGGGTTTGATTTAAAGGAGGCGCATTTGAATTCGAAAAGACCCTTTGGGAGAATAAGACGGACAAAAGTACAATCAAACCTTGGGCCGAATCTAATTTACTTTAAGGTGAAGTACATAAAAGTGGAGTCTGGATGTTCGAGGGCCGCCCAAAGAAGTCCTAGATCCATGGAAATGCACCGGCTAATAGACTCTGGGAAAAAGGGGGCGGATTCCGTTGAATAGGGGAGGAAGCGGAACCCATATAAAGCAGCCACCGCTGCGCTCTGCCTACCCTGCACACGTCTTTTACCAAGGGGAAAATATTAGCCTGTCTTCGGTGGTAAACATATAAATAAGTTAACGATAACGGGACCTTTTCGGAATACTAAAGGGTAGGGGTTGAGAAAAATACCTCCGTAGGAAAACAATATTGAAAGGGAAGATGTCCAAACTTTTTTTTTGTTTAACGCTTTTCCATGAGGGAGAAATCAACTTTAACGAGTTACTTGTCCTATTTTTCAGCTTTGCATTGCAAAGTTTGAACTTGTCTACTTGAAAAGAATAAGGAAAAAGGCGAAAGTTTGCTGCCTCCGTTATACCTATGTTGTCTTAAGTGAATTGTTTAAAAAAAGTTTCACATAAAGGAAAAACAAAATACACACTAAGTACAATCAATTTTTAAATATATTTATATTTTCCGCTCTAATTTAAAAGTCTTCAGTTAAAAAATGGTCACCTTGGCAGACTGGCCAAATAATAGACAGGCCATTTATTTAAATTTCATATTACAATATCACGAAGACTATAATTTCTCTAATAGGTAGGGATAAAAAATACTAAATAAAACAGAGATATTTTTATAACATACATTTATTTTGAAGTTATTTTGACATGAATTAACCCCTCATGCGTTAGTTTAATAATAAGGCGGCCTGAAACGATAAAATCATATTTCAACCAGACGTTAAAGCTGTCAGGCAGTGAAAGACTTACGGATAATCAGGACCGAATCCTGGAGGTGGTGGACCGTAGCCTGGGGGAGGGATGCCAGGACCAAAACCAGGCGGAACGAAGCCAGGCGGACTATAACCTGGAGGGCCGTAACCTGGCGGTCCGTATCCGGGTCTGAATCCATCTGTAAGCCACAAGTATTTAGAGATGAACAACATTTTGAGTTAAAAACTCACTATTCGTTTTGAAGCATCTCAGCTCTGTTCCTCTGCATATGCATCGTTCTCCTATCAGAGGGACGTCGAAGTACGGCAGCAGGCAGAAGAACGCTTCTGCACCTGTAAATTAAAAAAAAAAATGTTTCTTTACATCTGAGCCAAATGCTAAATTTGATATCAGTTTGTATATGTACATTGAAACATGTCTCATTTATTAATATATCTCACTAGATTCTCTTGAAGCACGATTACAACATGACTTATTAGTTTAAGTCAAAATTATTAATAAGGATGACGACTGTTCCTCCCTTCGAGAAATTACTAACGATTTAGCTCCGCCTGTAATAACTAGATCATATAGAACTTATTGCACATAATTAAACTAAGTATAGACGAAATATTCCTCGTCTTAGAATAATGAACATGGCCAATAAACTCGTCAACTGAATTTTTTATCATCATTTATTCAATTCGCTACTTAACTGTTTTTTGCTTATATTTTCCTGCCTTTCTCACGTTTTAACCATATACATTTATTTTCGTGTTTTTTAACTAAGTTATAATCAGAGCTATTAGGACCGCAACGCTACTCTATCTTTTATTTATCCCATTGCTAGCCTCTCCACTCACGCTAATAAATAACACGCACACCCAGACTTCTTTCATACTAGCCCAGAGTACTCGCTATTCCTAGAATATCTTAAGATATTAATTGGAGATAGGGCCCCACTATCTACAATAATAAATTACATTCACATATACAATTCATACGAACTACCAAAGTATACTAGATATTTCTCAAATTATTTGCTGATAAGCCATGTTCATTCACGCTAATAAATTAGATTCCTACATACCACGCCTGTGTACATTATATTTCTAGGAGTAATTAGGGAGAAACTACTTTATTCGTGCTAATAATTTACACCAGACCTCATCCGCACTACCTTAGAATACTCTTATAGTAATTAGGGAGAAGTACCTCCATTCACGCTAATAAATTAAATTCATGCATACTACCCAAAAGTACTTGCTATTTCTCGGGGTATTTGGGGACAAGCCAAGTCCATTCACGCTAATAAATTAGATACCTGCACACCGCCCAAGATTACTCGCTCTCGGGGTATTTGGGGATAAGCCGTCCATTCACGCTAATAAATTAGATACCTGCACACCGCCCAAGATTACTCGCTATTTCTCGGGGTATTTGGGGACAAGCCAAGTCCATTCACGCTAATAAATTAGATACCTGCACACCGCCCAAGATTACTCGCTATTTCTCGGGGTATTTGGGGATAAGCCAAGTCCATTCACGCTAATAAATTAGATACCTGCACACTACCCAAGAGTACTCGCTATTTCTCGGGGTATTTGGGGACAAGCCAAGTTCATTCACGCTTATAAATTAGATTCGTACGTACTAGACCTTTGTATACGATATTTCTAGGAGGAATTAGGGAGAAGCTACTGTATTCGTGCTAATAAATCACACCAGACTTCATCCACACTATCTTAGAATACTCGATATCTCTCATTGTAATTAGGGAGAAGCGCCTCCATTCACGCTAATACATAGTTTTTTTGGTTTTAGAGTTTATAACAAGGGTAAATTTGTTCTTTTTGTGACAATTCATTTGTACTTTCATTTTATTTATAATCCAAATTTATTTACAATAATATTTAAGTGTGTGGTGATTCGTGACGGTAAATCGATAATTATTCAGAAATCGTGAGATGCGGTCTGGTGTGATGTAGGTTTCATAAAAACATTTTCTTTACCAACGTTTCGATCTTTATTGAGATCATATTCAGGGCTCAAAGATATTGAAGATGAATATTTGTTAAGGCGCATTTTTTTTTCTTTTATATTTTATCGTCAATTACGAAGTCTAGTCTCCTTCCCCCTTTTTTCACTCTCTTAATTATATATTTTAATGTTTGATTTATGTTTGCATGCATTAAGTTTATTATTATTTTACACATGTATCGGGGATAAATCTTTAATTTTGTTCAAATAATTGTTGATTACGCGATCCATAACGGATTAAGCGGACAAAACAAGAGAGGATTAGCCGTTATCGCGGACCCTTGATCGAGAATGAGACGTCGAGAAGGGAGTCTTTGCGCAACTTTGAAAGACAAAACAGCTATCTCCCCTATATCGACCTATCGATTGTTATATCGATTTCGTTACGTCACATCGTCGATCCCTATACCATCAGGGACCACCGCCGAAAATCGGGCTGATCGGGGAATCTACGGTTTATACCGTGACGTCACGTATTTTCTTTGATCTTCTTCATCTCATCTTTATTTTTTTCTTCGTCGCCGTTTCGTCTGGTTTTCTTCATCATCTGTGACTTCTTCATCATTTGCGACTTCACATCTTCAATTTGCATACCTGCTTCGCCATTTCACTTCATCCTTAAGTTTACTTTATTTTATTATTATTATTATTATTATTATTTTATTGCATGCAAGTTTATTCGTTAAGTTAATTTAATTCATAGTTAACGTGCACGTCTTTACATGAGTAATATTATTAAGGTCAATTTTCATTCATTTCTTTTCATTAAAATTTAATAATTTTCATTTTGTTTCAATCTAGTCAATCGAATACCACGATCTGGTCAAATGATCGTAATTCAAGAAGTTGTTTAATTTTAATTTATATATAGATCAATAGAAAATTCAATTCAAATCAATAGAAAAAAGGTTTATTTTAATTTCATCTGATCTTGTTTTATATTTTTAAATCAAGTAAGAATACATTTATTTATATTTTATTATAACAATATATTCTTTATATATGTATAAAACCATATTATTTATGGTTTTACCCGTATACATGTGTGCATGCCATCTATTCAAATTTTAGGTATTTTCATTTATTCAAAAGATAAAAAGGGAAAGGAGAGTCAAATATTCTGGATAACTATCTTTAATTTAATAACAATATATATGTAATTTATTCATCTTCGGAAAATTAATCTCCACATTGAACCAGTGGGATATTGGGTAAGGAAATCGGTATTTCAAATTAACGAAAGCCCTTCCCCCCAACAACATTGAATATCTCACTGGCACTCTCAACACGACACGCAACAATGGCACAGTTTCACAGAAGACAAACATTTTGAGCCCTGAAGATGATCTCAATAAAGACCGAAACGTTGGCACGATAAAGAAAATGTTTTTCTAAAACCTACGTCACACAAGACCGCATCTAACGATTTCTGAATAATAATATTTAAGGTTTATGTAATTTTTGTTCCTCTGATTTGTTAGTCTTTTATATCTTTGTTATGAGCTATATTTTATGTATTATATATTAAAGTATGTTTGTACATTGGATTTATTCCTTAAAATATATTATTATTATTTATGTAGGTCTAGTTTGTATCTTTAGAATGGTTGAAAGGTTTTTGTTAGTTCCAGTAAAATATTGCACAACTTCGAGAAGTAAACTGTGCATTTAATGAAGGTACGTGTAAATTTTAAAATTATAAATCAGATATGACACGATGATAATTTTACAATGAAAAATCATCAAAACGTTTATAAGAAATAGTCTGAGTTATATTTAGTGGAGATAATCAAATTTAACAGTTATATATTTCTGTCTGACCATAGGTGGATATAGGTTCTAACCTTTTTGAAAAAGTATTCCCGCGGTGAGCAGAATGACGAACAACTTCATATTTTCAGATTCAAGGCACGACTCGCACAAAGCACGAAGCACCATGTAAAAAACTTTAAATAGACGCCGGCTGTATCTTATCTTCGTTCGGGCCGATCCCACTCGGCTTGGGTTCCTTTGAAATTTTTAATAAAAAAAAGGGTAAACTTTCCTATCTAAGTGGGCCGTAAATATTACCGTAAACTGTAGGCGATTGCACAATTCTTGACTTTGAGTGGCAATGGATAAACCAAGTAACGTACCGGCGTGAAAATTTGGCCATTTTTATTCATTTGGAGTAAAGTAAATTAGAATTTTGAACAAAAAAATCACGATTTGCCAGATTGTTTTTCCTAAAATCTTTGTTTTCATTAATCGCCATGGGTTTTCAACGTCTTTTTTCTAATAATAAAAATATTGTTACTTAAGTGAGGACTTATTGTATCTGATTACTTACATGGCCCGTTTATTGTCGCTGGCTTTTGTGATGATGTCATTTTTCCCCTGATTTTTTAATTGTTTCCCTTGCGTCTTTGTACTGGGGATAGTAGAGCGAATGCTTTGGATACTATATAAACATTTAAGTGTTATACCAACGAGCAGCGAGAATAGACGGACCCAAAACTGATCAGTTCAATTCGAGCTCATTTACTTTCAGATTAACCAACACTACTTAAGTTAAAAGAGATTTTTTAAAAATCTTGGTACTTATAATGCATATTATCTTTATTATGCAATATCATTAAACGAATTTTGTCTACGTTATAATCTGTCGCAGAGTCTTGGTATAAAAAAATCAAAAGTCATTGTTTATGGTTTATTTACGAACAAGGGTCCGCTTTTATGCGCAAGCTGTGTATGCACCGAAGACCCCTTGACGTTTATCCTCCATCGTAGATTTCCTAAATCAATGGTGACACGACGGGGGGTCTTCACGATCCGGAATGCTTTCATTATTTTTTACGACGGGCCTACCAGGTGAGCTAATGACGGGCAAATAAGACTTGTTTTTTTTTCGGGGAGGACTTAAATAATACCAATCATGTGGACGGTAAAAAACTAAAAATTGAAAACGAAACGAGTGACGGTTTTTAACTGTAGATTTATGTCAAATAGCTTTCGAGTGAATAATTTGTCAGCCGGTTATAGCTAGTATATTAAAAAAATTAACGTAGTAAAGGTAAGTAATTAAATAATAAGTGTAGGCAGATGTTAACAGTAACTCAGTATATTGATGTTCCTGCTGATTGCATTCTGAAGAAATAAACTGTTTAGTTTCTTGTTTTCTTAATTTAAATTTTTAAACTTAAAAATGCCACTTAGTGCAAAAGTTGTTGCGCGTGGTGGGGCTCTTATTGATGATGGACGTTCCATCAGGTATGCGTCTATTGCCATCGAAGTTCCATACGAAACTCCGCGAGACACCGTTAGACGTTTTTGAGAAATTGGATCCTACCATAGAAGGCCCGGTTCTGGACGCCTTAGGGTAAGAGAACCACAGGATGACGGTTTTTGACTTTCAGAATTTGGGCAAACCAGCACCTTACTGTTGTTCAAGCGATTCATCAACTCCAAGAAGAGCGAGGTGCCCAAATTTCTGAACGCTCTGCTCGAAGAAGATTAAATCAGTCTGGATTGCTTTTCGCCAAGTAAGAGGACCAGAATTGACTAGAGTTGCACGGCTCGCATTTGTTCGAGAACACAGCCATTGGTCTTTGGACTTTTGGTCTACTGTACTTTTTACAGATGAGTGTAGATTTGCTCTACGAGTTCCAGATGGGCGTGAAAGAGTGTGGAGAAGGCGAAATGGAAGCGAAGCCTGTAATTTCTACCAGAGCAACCTTTTCAGCGTAACTCAGTGATCATGAGGGCGGGAATTTCAATGGTTCACAGAATTGGGTGTTATTCGTGAAGCGTATTTGACTGCCACTCGCTGTGAGCATGAAATATTGAAACATCATGCGTTGCCCATCCTCAATGACATCAGCGACAATCCTATTCTAACGCCCGTCCACATGTAGCTCGCATAGTACAAACGTACTTTCAACAGCATAACATCAGGGTCTTATCTGGCCAGCCCGTTCTCCAGACTTGAACCCCGTCGAACATTTATGGGATAACCTCAAAAGACGACAGGACGTCTATCACTTCCTGATACACTCCACGATCTTCAAAGGTCTCTTCGTGAAGAACGGGCTAACCTCCAGGAAAGAGATATTTCCAGACTGGTAGAAATTATGCCCAGGCGTCTTCGAGATGTTAAGGCAAGAGGAGAAAATATGCGATATTGAAACGTTAATTAAAAATCTAAAACAAAATTAAAGCAAATTTTATCTATCCGCCTTTTTAACATATGTTTTTATTTCATTATATTTTATTTTTCATTTTCCTTAGCAATTTACATTTTTTAAACTTTTTTAAACAAAGACTCAATTATTATTTTTTTAAAACTTTTTATTTGTTTTTTACAAATGCATTCTTCGACGCAACATAAAATAGATAATATTTACATATAAACATATTAACGGTAGCATGAAAGCTTGAACAGTTACCATCCAGTGATGGTAGCTGTTAGTAAATCAATAAGATGAGCGAGATGTACTCCGTCTTAGGGGACAGATGTCAAGTGTTAAGGTTATCGCGTGGCCACCGACGCTTGGGATTATTAGGTAATGTGGTGGATAACAGGTTTTTGACGAAAGGGTTCGGATGAAGGGGTAGTTTGGAATGGAACGTTTTGTAGCGGGATTGGGCTAGCTCGGTAACAAAAGGGACATTTAGGTCGGTATGGATGGTGTGATTGGATACATAGAAAGGGGCTTTTATTATTGTTCTGATGATTTTAGATTGAAGGGATTGGATTCGATTGAGGTTGGAACGCTTAGCAGTCCCGTAAAGTTCAAGTCCATATGTCCAAATGGGGCCAGGAGGGCAATGTAAAGTTTTCTTTTGTTTGTTAGTGAGAATTTTGATCGTCTGTCGAGTAGTCGTTTAAGCATGAAAAATCGTATGTTACAGACTGTGCGCTTAAGTCGTTTATAGGGGTTCCACGTCAGTCGTTTGTCGTCCAAGGTATCATACATGGTTCGCAATTGGGATGGGAACGTTGTTGAGGTATACTGGTGGGAGTGTTTTCTTGTTTAGCGTAAATATTATGTTTGTTGATTTGGTTTCGGTGATCTTGATTCTCCACCGACGGAGCCAGCATTCTAGGATGTTTAGGTGATTTTGGAGATTACGGAAGCTGTAACAGGATCTTTATCAGGAGAAAGGATTGAGGTATCATCTGCAAAGGTGAAGGTGATAGTGTTAAGTTGCGTAGGTAGGTATAAATTGAATAAAGGAAAGGGGCGAGCACACTGCCCTGAGGGACACCTGCTAGAATAGGATGGATAGGAGACAATGCATTTTGTGGGATACTTGGAAGTAACGATCGTTATTATCTTATCGATTTTAGGATAAGATAATAGGCTGCTGGTAGGATGTTCTTGAGTTTCCACAGCAGCCCAGAGTGCCATACTCGGTCAAAGGCTTGGTGTATATCCAAGAACACACCCGGGCAATACTGTTTTAGCTCAAGGGATGTGGAAATAACGTCGATTATGCGATGTGCTTGTTGTACAGTTGAGTGGCAACTTCGAAAGCAGAATTGGTGATGGGGAATTGTGTTTGTAGGAATTTCCTTGGACAAGCGGATCAATAGGAGCTTTTCCAGTATTTTGCCAATAATGGGCAAAAGACTGATGGGTCGGTAGGAGCTGCGAAGGTGATTTGGTTTTTCAGGTTTTGGGAGCATCCTGATGGAAGAAAATTTCCAACAGGTGGGGAAATGGGTTGAAATGGGTTAGGACAGCGTTGAAAACGTAGATTGTAAAGATAATGGCTTTTTTAGGTAGTTGGGATAGGATTATGGTAGTGATTAGGTCGCAACCTGGATATTTCTTTTTGGAAAGGTTTAAAATGGCCTGCTTGACTCAATTATTAAACGTTAAAAAACTTGAAGCTTTGATTTATATATAAAAATATATACAAATCAAGTCATATTAGAAATGGGCGGAACTTTTTGCCTGTCAGTGCATTATGAATAACAAATTTGTATAATAATATTTGAAAAATGGCAAAAAGCAGGGAAAATTCGAAAGGTTGGGTTGAGATGGGAAGTTAGTGTCCAAGTGGAAGTCACGATAGAAGTGGTAGAACAGTTGCGTATTTAGCCGATGGTCGTGGGTTCGAATCCCGCTCGTGACACTGACTTTTTTATCTAATATACCTAAAGATTAATTAATTGAATAAAATTAATGAGATTGCATCGTAGAAACTATTTAAAATAATAATTTATTTTGAAGTCGGAAATAATGGAATATTATTATATAACTGTTTTTATATTCCCTAAAATGAATACAAGTTTTAAACAATGTTTAATAATGTTTTGCTGTGTATGATGATGGTGGATTTATTTTTCTTCGAAATAATCAACCATTTTAACAAAGATTGCTGGGTGGTCTGGAAGCTGATGAACCTTTGTCAACATGTCATTAATGACCACATCAGGCACATCCTTGGCACTAATGACCTTCAACAGATTTGTATTTGCGTCTGTTGAAGGTTTTTTTTTTAGTATTTCTTGGCCTATTTTCTTAATAACATTTATTACATTTTGATTCATTACAGAGAGCTAATTTGAATAAAAATGTTTTTACTTTAAAAAGTGTCGAGCTTTAAGGAATTAAAAAACTTGTACAGGCAAGTCATTTGTAAATTATACACATATCAAACATAATTAAGTTAATTAAATCTATCGTTAACACAATAAATTTGCTTTTATAATACTCAGGCTTCTTCAATTAAGGAAAAAGACTTTTCAAGAAGATTACTTCAATTTTAATGGTTGATTTACTTCGGTTATGCGAAGGTAGAAGGGAAAGACAATCAGTCTGATCTTTAATATTCTAGCAGGTAGATGAAAGCCGATATCCAAATTGTTATTTGGTCCTAGAGTACACACCATTAAAACCCTTTTACAAAAGACAGCGTCTGAAAGAGGCTCCTGGTTAATTGGCGCGAGCCTTTAATCAATATCACCATTTG